GAGTTTAGAGGTTTGAGTTGCAACTAACATATTATTTTTTTCAAATATTTGAGAGAGCTTCTATGGTTAAAATTGTGATTAAGTAGAATTGAACTCGGGACCTTTACTAACTTAAGACTCAACAAAATTAATGGACTAAAACTAGTGTCTAAAAATATGGTAAATAAAGTTATTTATTCTTGCTCTTCCATAAATTTCGATACGCTTATAAATTCCTATGTATGCCTGATTCGTATTATTCTGCTCAATAAAAAGAATAAGGAAAGTTAAAATCCAAAACACTGGAAGCAAATTAAAATTACAAGAGCCGAATCATCTTCTTTGTAACTCGCCTCTACATGAAGCATAAATCCTGAGTCTTCCCAAAGCCCGAGCATGAATCGATAAGGCCAACTACAGCACACATTCCTCAGTTCGCTTGCCCAAATTACTAGATTACTATCATTACTAGATCATTACTAGATTCCATTCCAAATAAGTTAGGAGTCTCTTATATGAATCTTAGACCACGTCCCTAATCTACGATATATTTATAAATTAAATTTTAACTCTTCTGGGGAATTTTTGGGAACATTTTAGAAAGAAAAAAAATTGAATGTTTTTTTACAAAGTAAAGACGAGTACGAACAACTGCTTCTTTCTTTTATATTTTTATTGTGAGTGGTGATTTTCAATCAAATTATATAGCTAGGCGAAATTTACCAACCACACAAATTATTCACCAAATGAAACTATAGCCAAAGATTTCATTGACGAATGGGGAGAAGTTTTACTAACGAAGGTGTGGTCCTTGTGGATATTATGTACTGATATTTTGTAATATAGTATTTTATCTAAGGGAAAAAAAGAAAAACACGAAGAAGAAAAAGAGGAGTGAAAAAACTCGAAAGCAGATATTTATATACAAAAAATATTACGCGGAAAAAAGGGCTTTGCCTTAGACCAAATCTTAGGCTCGTGATTCTCGTGGTAAGACCGTGCCAATTTTGTTTTTTAATCAATTGCTAAAGAAATATTTTAAAAAAAGAAAAAAAAGAAAAGAGAACTTGACACATAAATCTTATAAATTATCAAAAATATTCTTGTCAATTCCTAAATGTATACTTCCTTATAACCATTTATATCATTAATATTTATGGTATTGATTGGACATGAAACTTAAGTAACTAAAAATTTGCTATAAAAGCTTATCATTAAGGTAAAATGAGAAGTTTAAATTTAAATTATTTTTAAATATATATAATATATCATTCTTTTGTAATCAGGCTAATATAAAAATGGTGTCACTTAAAATATAAAAGAGGAAGTATCTCACTACCGGTAAAATTAAAATTTTAAATATTAAGAGTTTCTAAAAATTGAAAAACGTCAATTTCTTCAAACCAACAAAAATATAGTGTCAAACAAATTGATGTATAGAGATGTATGAATAAGACACATAGGAATATTATTCTTTTATTAATGATTAGAAAAACTATTAATTTCTTAATCATTTAAAAGGTTAGCCGAAAAGTATTAATCCAAGAATTAAACCAAGATTTGGAAAGAGCAAGCAACCCACGTGCTTCGCATTATGCTTCCTATCTTCAGACGTCAAATGTCAACCACCCATGTTCCCATCTTTATTCGAAAAGAAGAAAAAAAAACTTTTCTTTATTAAAATGTTACACAAATCATTATTGTCATTATTATTGGGGCCTGGGCTAGAGTTAATAAGTACAAGTTCAGATAAATTTAGTAATTTTATTTTAAAAAATTTATTAAATATATTTAAATATTTAATTACGAATACAATAACTAAAACGAATTATAAGTTCAATAACAAGTTCAAAGTCTAATAAACTTCAAATCATCGATCCGCATTACCAAAATTCATAAGTATAAAAGTTTAAGTCTAAGTGCTAGCTTTACCTTCGCTATACATCTGCAAACCTATTCTAAGATTACCAGTCTAGTGTGTAGCCTAGACATAGGCGTATTTAGAATTAATATTTAATGCGTATAACTTTTAAGATTTTTAGTATTGAATTTATTATATTATTAAAATTATAGGTTCAATTCTAATACTTATTGAGATTTTGATAAATTTTTACATATAAATTTATACTTCGTATCAAAAGTTATGAGTTTAATTGAACTTGTAGCCGAAAATCTACTTCCGTCCCCTGAGCCTAAAGACACTAGAGACAAGTTAAAAAAAGAATCCCAATATACTGCTTTCATTTAAAATATTAGGGGTGGTTTGGTAGGAGGTATTAAAAAAAAATAATGAAAGCATTAGCTCTATGCATTACTAATACCTTATTTTGTATATTTTTTCAACTTGTGTATAACTAATACAAGCTAATAATTGTATTAGTTATACATCATACTTGGTATTATCCTATGTATAAGTAATGCATAAAAAACCATGTCATTAGTAATACCAAGGCTACTAATGTATGTATTAGGTTGGTTAAAGATAAAATTATTCTTAAAATCCCTTAAAATTTGAAAATACGGAGGACATTTTTGTAAACAACTATTTTTCTTAAAAATTATGCAATGTATTATAATTTTAATATACCACACCAAACAATAGATAAAGAATAATATCTGCATAACTAATGATTGCATTACTAACCCATGCATTACTAATCCATGCATTACTAATCTATACATTACTAATACATCTTATTCCGTCATATTCTTACACATCCTACCAAACGGCTCCTTAATGTTGTTCTACCTCGATGGCTTGATCAAAGAAAGAATATATGGATCAAATACAACTACAAAAACAAAAATATCCATATCTATAAGATTTTTGAAAATGTAATTAAAATATTTTTTCAATCTTAAACTAATAAATGTTGGTTAATTTAGAAACATTTTTTTCCAAATTATTTTGTGAATGTTTCTTCTTGAAGTAAACGATAAACTGAAGTCAAAACTCAAAACCCACCAACATGTGACTGTGGACTCATTTCAATGTGGGGGTTATTTCAATGCAATTATTTTCTGAGAATTAATTTCATACCTTGCGCGGTTGCGCCTTTAAACCTTTTTCTTCAATGCAATTATTTTTTAAAGATTCCTTTCATATTTTGCACTTTTAACCTTTTTTTAATTTTATAGCCATCTAGTATTCGAAATTTACTGTTTTGATTAATTCTGGTTCGCATTTGCATAGCCTATGTAAGGGAAGCATTACAGAGCTAGATTTTCACTAAGAAGTATCGAAATTTAAAGAAATAAATATACGAAAAAGTTATAAAGATTATTTATATATATATTATAATGTTTCTGCAAATGAGTGTCAATTGACACCCGGTGGCTCGGCCGCTGACGTTTTCTATCGAACAAAATTTCATTTTTAAGAATTCAAATTTGAAAACACCAATTAAAAGTGAAAAAATGTCATCCATTTCATCACATTACACGGTCCTAAATGTGGTAGGTTAACTTTTTAGTTACACATTCTAAACGTGAAAGGTTAATTATCAACAAGTCAGTGGTCAGTACACACGTATGTTTGGTAAGAGAACCAACCCGAAAAAGGAATTAGAAAGAAAGAATTTGACCCAAAAAAAGAAAGAAGAAAAAGAGAGGAAAAAGAGAAGAAAAAGAAAATGAAGAAAAGGCAAAAATAGGAGTAAAATATGATGACCTCAGATATGAACAGAACAAAAAGTACACTATCTTTTCTGCTTCTGCGTCTATGTTCACCAAATGGCAAAATAGCAAATTATTAGAGGAAAAAAAATATACTGTTTCAATATTTTGAATAATCAGAATCAGAAATAATAATTAGGTAAAAAGAGAAGACACAGTTGGGACCGGTGAAAGTGAAACTCATGTTTGGTTCACGGATTAAGTTAGGCGGAGAATATAATGTTCGAGATTATAATATTGGAGATAAATAATTTTCTTAGTAGTACATGCTTTTCATTTTATGTGATAGTTTGAGTGACCACGAAATATAAAAAATCGTAAATATTTGTTTGGCACTAAATTATTGTAAATAAAATATTTAAAATTAAATTATTTTTAAATGGAGAAAAATATTATATAAGGCATAATGTAAACCCTTTCTTTTGATATGGAGTTAGATAAAATTGAATAAATTTCTTGTTTGGGCAATTAATTAATTTCTGTCGTTTGACAGGGTAATATTATCATTTTGCTAACTTTATCCACGTAGCTAATCCTTATATTATTATCCAAAAAATTCAAAGTGGATAAAGAACACCAAGATTTTAGAACACCAAGATTCAAAATGGATAAAGAACACCAAGATAATCCTTAATTTTATATCAGATTGGAGTCCTAAATCCTTTAGTCAAAACGGCGCCTAAAAAATCTAACATTAGTCTGAATTATTAAGCAAACACATAAATTACTCTGCGGCAATCAATGAATTTCATTTATTTCTCAAAAAGGAAGAAAAAATAGAGAATTAATTAATGAATAAACAGGATAGGTCCAGACAACCAGCAAGGGAGTTATGGTAGAGCGGTAAGTATTTCTTCATCCTTAATCAAAGATCTCGAATTCGAGCCTTAAATATATAATCGTCTTTGTTAAGGAATGCTTTACCCCACTGTAAGACTTTTCCCCGCAAATCCAAATTTAGTCATGCCCCAATAGGGGTACCAGACATTGGGTAGGAGACCACTCAATATGGAACTTTCCGACACAAATTCGTATTTAATCGGCCCCAATGGAGATACCGGACATCGGGTGGAAAATCATCTTATATGGAACTTTCTAGGGCAGATTCAGATTTAGTCGGGCCCCAATGGGTACCAGACATTTGGTGGGAAACCATTTAATGTGAGACTTTTGGACGTAAATTTAAATTTAATCGACTCCCAATACAGATACTAATCACCGAGCTAAAAAAACAGAAAGAAAAGGGATAGGTCCACACAAATAAAAGTCACAGTCCCACTTTTATTATTTTTATAATTTATATACATTGTGTATATGTATTACTACTCCACTTGTATATAAACACCAAACCAAACACAGAAAGGAATCAAAGAAACACGAAACCTGCTGATCTTCTCTTCTCTTTCACTCCATATCTGTACAAAACAGATTACAGCCAAAAAATCCGAAACTGAGAAATTTAACAATCTTTTTATTTCTTGATCTTTTTTTAAAAATCCAAATAGGGGAATGGTAATAGTACAGCAGCAAGAGGAGGAAATAAGGCAAGGTGGAGGAAAGAAGGGAATGCGATTAGGGAAATACGAAGTCGGAAAAACTTTAGGAGAAGGCAATTTTGGGAAAGTGAAATACGCTAAACATATTGATTCAGGTCAATCTTTTGCAATTAAGATTTTGGACAAGGATCGGATTATTGACCTTAGGTCTACTGATCAGGTTTGTCTGATTTTCCTCTCCCATTTCGCTTTTGCTGTTTTGACTTATTTGTGTTTTATTGAAATTCATCTTATTTGGTAACGTAGATCTTCTTCTTTTTATGACCAAATCTCGTCTCCGACGTAGAAGCTGAATTAGAATTTGAAGTTTATGATTTCTGAATAGTAACTAAACTCATAACTCGTCTTAGTTATTGGTTCGTAATTAAATATTTATACATACTGTATGAATTTTCTAATAAAAATACAGAATTTCATCAAAAGGTATTTGGTTCGCCCAAACCAGTAGCTAATGCTCTCCCTCCGCCCCGGTAGTCCGACGGGCTGGGGTAAAATATGGATGCAGCCTATATTAACGAGTTTAGTATTTTCAATGTAGAATATAAATATACAGTCAAACCTATAATAATCTCGTTTGTTCCGAATATTTTTGGATGTTATAACGAAGGGTTGTTATAACATGAAAATTGGTTACGAAAAAAGTTTGGCTTTTATAATGAAGTGTTGTTATATAGGGATGCTGTTATAGAGAGGTCTGACTGTATATATATGTAAAAACTATTTTAATTTTTGAACACGTAATTTTAAAAATACACAAAAAGCCTTAAAAGTTAAATCCATCTATTTGAAATCATAAAGGGTGTATTTTGTATTAAGAAAAATGAAAAAATGAGTTATTTTTCAGCAACCAATTACCGAAAAATATTTTCCTTGAAAAATAATTTTATTGAAAGGTGGAAGATGAATTTCTTTGTCGATTAGTCTATTTGAAATAGTTTCTAAATTTTAGAGAGTTTTGGATAGTGAGATAATTTCTTATGAGGAAAACAATTTTCTCCCTACCAAACACACCCTTACTTACTTGGAAGTTATCCATTTGGTTAGCATTCTCATCTTCCACTATATTTCCTACCAAATGATCTGCACCAAAATAGTTAATTTATTAGCTAATTTTAGTGGTTCAAAATTCTCTAATTAGACAATTGAGCAGTCCAAATTGACGACAGCTGAATAATCAAAATTGTACAATTTGTATTCGATTGTCTAAGTTTAAATCTTATGAGTCAATCATGAATCGTTTGATTGAACTTCTCCTACTTTCGTACTATGTTGCTCGGATTCTTCGAAAATGTATTATTCTTAAAGGATCTGAAATGGGTGCAGCAAGAGGCGATCACAGAATTTCAACTTTATAGGTTCTAGATTTTAAAAGGATGATTTTCAGTGCTAATAACTGCGTCCTAAATTAATATTTGTACATATTTAATAAATTTTTTAACACAAATAACTGGATTTGGTCGAACACGTACCGAGCTTCTAGCTCCGCCCATGATACTACAACATTTTGAAGAGTCCACGCAACATAACTTTTGTGCTAACTGTCAATAAGCTTATATATGTTTAATGTGTAATATTGCAATAAGCTTATATATGTTTAATGTGTAATATTGCAGATTAAGAGGGAGATTGGAACATTAAAACTCCTCAAACATCCTAACGTGGTCAGATTATACGAGGTACATATGTCCTATCTTTTTTTCTTTTTTTAACACTAGTTGAACTTGTCTTTTCTGTTTTCGTGTCTGTTCTTTTGCCTTATTTCAAATACTCTGAATATTATTATTATTATGATATATTATCTTTTGAACCAAAAAAAAATCCGAATATACCCAAAGTTAGATATTGAAAAGACATAAATTGTATTTTTGTAAAGATAAATTAGCTGCACCGAGAGATTCGGGATATAAAGTTAATTATAAATACTATTTACATATATTTTATTCTTCATAAACAACGAGTATAATACAATTTATCTTTGCTTCAAACAAAGATCAATTGATGCTCATTCTTGCACGTCTTAAAGATTCATTTCTCTTTCTCTATTTTCTGGGTAATCCGGTGTACAAAATATTTAGCATTTATACAATGGTCCCGAAGACGGTCGCACCCCTAGAGGTATAATATAGACGGCTTATCCTAATGCAAACATTAGCGATTGCTTCTACTGTTCGAACGAAAATAACTTTACCGTTATTCCAAGCTCCCTTATTTTTTTCTGTTTTGTTTTCCTTATCTAGGCACAAAATTTGCTGAATTTTAATATAGTTCAATCTATAAAGTTACGGTTGATTGTGATAATTCATTTTTTGGTAGGTAGAAAATAATAATTGGGGAGCCATTTCCATTCTCCACATAATTAAGACTTTTTCAACTGTACAAACAAATATGAGGACTCTTTAGTCCATAACCATAAGTGTCAAATCATTGAATTTTGTGGTTGTATATTGCATATGGATGGGACCCATTTTGTCTGGGACCACAGTTAGTCATTGGATCTAGCCAATGACATTAAAAAAATAAACTTAGGTGACAAACACTGTTTTGTTTTTTTCTTGGACTTATAGTGTACAATTAGGAAATAGTCTCTTGCTGTTAAAATTAAGTTTATTCTGCCGTGGTAGACCAAAATTTCATGATCTCAGTTCAAATCATGAAATAACTACTCAAATCTAATTAAATTAGGTTCCTATCAAAAATAGTTTTTCTTCCTTGGAGAACTTGGACAAGATGTAATGTCTGTGACGTTTTCATGTTGCTTGTCAAGTGCTATCTCATTGTGTCAAAAATGATAACAACGACAATAATAACAACAGCAAGAACAACGTTGTCAAGTGATTAACAATATAAAAATAGCGACAGTAACAATAATAACAACAACAAAAAAAGTTTTTTATTATTATTATTATTATTATTATTATTATTATTATTATTATTATTATTATTATTACTATTAGTTAGATATGACCAAAAATTTGACATTTAAAAGACTGCATGGGGAATGTTGTTGAGCCCAAACAATTGGCATAGAAGTGTTACTTATTACTCCCTCCGTTTCAATTTATACGTCTGTTTGACTGCACATAGAGTTTAAAAAAAGTAAAGAAGACTTTTAAATCTTGTGGACTTAAAATAAAGGTGAGTGTAATGTACTAAGATACCCTTGAATCTTGTGTTTTAAACTAAAGATGAGTGTCATGTACCAAGATACCCTTGAATCGTGTGGTACTAAATATGGTATGTGGGATGTTGGAGTTAAAGAGTTGCTAAATACCGAGAGAGGCGTTCTTTTTGGAATAGACTAAAAAAGAAAGTAAGACACATAAATTGAAATGAAGAGTGTATTAGTTCCACGAATAATTTAGTAGTAACACAATACACAATTTAAGTCTGTGTATTAGTAACACATACTTAATAATCACCAGTTAAGATTTAGTAGTTCATGTTGTTTGTAATATATGGTGAAACTTCATTTTGAATTTTCTCACTACACTCTCAGATACAATTTCATATACTATCTTTGTATTTATAGTCCGTATTTGCTTTTTGTATCTGTTACTTTGTACTGAGTTCATATTAGTATTTTACTATGATGCATTTCTGACATGAAACTATAATTAATCAGGTCTTAGCGAGCAAAAGCAAGATTTATATGGTGCTGGAATACGTGAATGGTGGTGAATTATTTGACAGAATCGTAAGCAACTTTGGCGATAAACTTGTGTTTCTGCATATTAACGTCTCAAATCTGGAATTTTAACCTTGACTGTAATCCTTATTCATAGGTGTCCAAAGGAAAACTAAAAGAGGCACAAGGTAGAAAACTCTTCCAACAATTGATTGACGGTGTTAGTTACTGTCACGAAAAAGGTGTCTTCCACAGAGACCTCAAGGTAACTAATTATATAGTGTAGCACACAAACATTATAAGTTGTCGCATGTTCTGTCAAATAACATTTGTTATTTTTGAAATGCAGCTAGAAAACGTACTCATTGATTCAAAAGGGAACATAAAAATAACGGACTTTGGGCTCAGTGCTTTACCCCAACATTTTAGGGTATGGACTACCATCTTCTCTTTGTCGAATATATGAATTCTTTTCCTCAAACTTAACGAGCTTTCTTGCTTAACTATAGGATGATGGTTTGTTGCATACAACTTGCGGTAGTCCCAACTATGTCGCCCCTGAAATTCTTTCTAACAGAGGATATGATGGCGCGACATCAGATACTTGGTCGTGTGGTGTCATCTTATATGTCATTCTCACTGGTTATTTACCATTTGACGATAGAAATCTTGCAGTACTTTATCAAAAGGTAAGACGTCTTCCTCTTTTCCCTTTTAATCTTTTATCTGTGTAGAGCTCATTTATATGTCATTTTCTGGAGCTAATACTATTAATATTTTTTGGAGGGACATTAATCAGATAGTTAAGGGGGATGTTCATATACCAAAATGGCTATCCGCTGGAGCAAAGAACCTCATAAAGAGGATTCTTGATCCCAACCCACATACTCGTATAACGATGGAAGAAATCAAAGAAGATAAATGGTTCAAAGAAGACTATACTCCTGTAAATCCCGACGAAGAAGATTTGGAAGATGATCCTGCATCGACAGATAATCAAGTCTTAGCAGTACAAGAAACAGTATGAACTTTGAACCCTTGAGTAATTGGTTTGTGTATAACATTATTATCCTTTCGTCGTTAATTACTGATTGGTTTTCATATCCGTGTCATAGCCACTTGACGCGCAAAGAGATCCAGAATCACCTTGTGTGATAAATGCTTTCGAGCTAATAGGGATGTCGTCATGTCTTGATCTTTCTGGATTTTTCGAGAAAGAGGTAAGTCTACTTTTAATTTTTTACCATATTATGCGAGGAACAAATATTTAAACCTAGACTTATTTCTTCTTTGGATTATTGTAGGATGTTTCTGAGAGGAAGATCAGATTTACATCCAGTCTCTCTCCAAAGCAGTTGCTGGAGCGGATTGAGAATATGGTAACACAAATGGGATTTCATGTCCAGAAAAAAAATGGAAGGGTTAGTATCAATGTCGGTGTATCTACCTGTATTTGAGTAGTTCCATGTAATCCAAAAAAGATTCAGACATGCACTAGTGATACATCTCTTTTTACATTTGTGTCTGCGCATATATTTCAGTTGAAAGTGATGCAAGACCACAAAAGCCAAAAGAGCACGGCTAATCTCTCAGTAGTCGCTGAGGTAAATGACGAAAACAGTATTCTACTCCCCTTAATTTCCATTGCAGTAAGAGAGAAAAAGAAGCATAATTATTCCAATGCATGATTTGCAGGTTTTTGAGATTAGCCCATCGTTGTATGTTGTAGAGTTACGAAAGTCTTCAGGGGATTCAACAGTATATAGACAGGTATATCTCAACATCCTCTTCTACCTCGTTGCAACCTGCAATCCCTCGAGACAGGGGCGGAGTAGCTTTGGTCCGAACTTTGTATTTGTCTTAAGAAATCTATTGAACACGTATAAATTATTAATTTAGAACCCAATAACTTACAAAGACTAGAATTCTCAACCCATAAACTTCAAATTCTCCACCTCCAGCCCTGTTAAACTAACTAAATCATGCTTATATCTTGCAGTTGTGTAATAGGATATCGAGTGATTTAGGTGTTCAGCGAAGCCAGGAACTCATAGCTACTGATGTATATTGAAAGCTGCGGACCATTTGCAGTGGCGATTAAATCCATTTTTTTGTTCTTTTCTCCTCTTCTATATTTAGAGGAGTCGAGCGATATAGCATGAGATACGCTTAGTTGTTTGATTCTACGAGCGATATAGCATGAGATTAAATGGCAAACACCATTGATTTGATTAAGTGTACAGTAAGAAACATGGCGTTAGTCGCCTTATCAATTAGTACATTAAGGTAAATTTGTATTCTGTAGTATCTATTATTTAGAGGACCTTGCTCTTGGAACATGGCGATAGTCGCCTTATCAATTAGTACACATTTAGCTAAATCTGTATTCTGTAGTATATATTATTTGGAGGAGCTTGCTCTTTACAGGGATTTTGAAGTCTCCAACCAGTTTATATCTGCTCATAAATAATATTGTAGCACTATTTTATTTATTTTCCCATTGTTATTTCCAAAAGATTGTGCATATCAAACTCTATAAAGAAAAGGATTGTTGTTTTTTGTATATTGGAATCATGCTAGAAATACTGTCTGTTTCTGTTTTGGTGTCTGAATCTACAAATAATGTTTCCAGGAACGCATAGTTTCTTTTGAAACCTCTGTGTATTTGGATGCCGTGAACCTTTGAGGTTTTTAGTATTGAACTCATTGTCTTTTTAAAGTTATGGGTTCATATTGCTATTTATTACAATATTAGTAAATTTTTACCCATAAATTTAGGGTATGCGTCAAAAGTACTCCGCCTCTGCTCATATACCAAGGCCTCGTAGTGATTATCTCTATTTTATACATTCTGGATTTATATTTTTATTTTTATTTTTTTATAATCAAAAAAATACCTGAGAGCTTCATGGAAATTCTAGATGATGGGCTCACCTTTTTATTCTTCTCCACTTAAATATCAAGTTCTTGTTTGCAGTAGAGTTCAAATTTGTTCATGCGTCTAACTCACACATCACATGTCGTACTCTTACCATTAGATCAAAGCCGTTCTAAATTGACAAAACTTCTAGACAACATTAATTAATAGTTAATGCCAAAAGTAGAGTGTTTTAGAAAAATAATTTCGTAATGGTCCAATCCAACTCTACAAAGAGAAAAATGAGAAGGAAACCACGCTGATTTTATTAAGTAGAGGAAAAAAACATCTTTATTCTCTAGTATCCCTTTAATAGATACAACCAACTTCCACCTAAAATAGATCACCTAAATTCAAGAATCAACTTAGCCACCAAAAATCTAAAATAAGAGATGTTTGTGCAATTCTAAAACCCATACCCAACCATGTCCTAAGTTTTTTTTCCCCTTTCTTATTCGATGACTGGTATTCTCTTTTGGGGTCCTGATTTTTCATGATTTGCATTGTGTAAGTCCCATTAAATGCAAAAGATGCTCCTTACCACATTTTTTCTATTCTCACAGTTTGAAATTGAGATCTCTAGTTGAGGATTGATGCTCCGTACTGTAATTTTTTCTATTTTTAGAGTTCGAACCCGAAATCTCTAGTTAAAGATTGATGAATCATATCCATTCCACCACAAACTACGAGTGGTAACCACGTCCTAAGTTCTGCCTACATCTCTTCATCTCTTTTTATTTGGATTTAACTCTAGGCTATGAATTTAATTCTAAAACTACCCAAGTGAAACATTGCATAAAAGAAGGGTCTCCTTTTTTCAATTATTCTCAAAATTAAAATGTTTTATGCCAAGAAAAAGGAGAATTTTATTTATGAGGTCTACTTAGTTTTGTTAAATAATTGATCCAAAATTTTCAAACGGTAACTGATTTGTTACTTGAATATCTCCCCCAACCATAAAAAGAAAGAAAGATACATTTCCCTAAAAAGGATAGCACACGAACCTTAGGTTTTTTTAAAAAATATCTTAGCCGCCACCTCTCCAAATCTAAGTCTCTATTCCATCTCTGGCGACGATGATTCCTCTTTCCGGTGACGACGAGTTTTCTTCTAGGTAAATATCTCAGTTTTAGGATTAACAATGCGATTACAGGTTAAATTTGCGTATTTATTAAACCATTACTTATTAGAGCTAACCCACATTTTCTCCATTGCGCTCTCACCAACGATGATCACTATAAACTGTGAGCACCTAATTTTTTACCGTGCTTGAATATTTTCCGCTCTCATCTTCCCAGGCGTGTCCCCACTCCACTTTCCTTTGTCCCCCATGCTTGTCCCCCCACACTTTGCTTCTCACTCCACTCCTTGTTCCCCATGCTTGTCTCATATCACAACCCCCATATCTCCCCAATTCCCTAAAAAACGGATCTCTCTCCCCAAAGAGAAGACAGTCGTTGCCCTCATTCCCTCTATAAACTCCAACGGACCACACCTTCATATGGGGGGTGCTGGAAAAAAAAAATACCACACAAACTCCAAACAATAAGCTGCTATTTATTCCATAGATCTAAACTTTAGAACTCTAGCATTACAACATTTTCTTCAAAGAAAAATACAACAGCAAAGCTAGCAAAATTCAGCAGTTGTAACTATCCCCATTTTATTCTTAAAACGGTCCCAAACTCCATTAAAAACATCACCGAATATCAGCTGAAAATTCATAGCAAAAACAGTCCAAAACGTGCCCTCCTCAGCCCAAAAACAGCTGAAAATGCAGCCATGAAACTCCAGTTCCGAAACCAGTCCAAAATATCATGAAATCTCAGTGTGTCCTCCCTCACAACACTCTCTCTACGGGTCAGTGAAGGGATCGAGTCCGTCGAGGTCGACGTGAAATTTCTTCGGCTGAAGGTTCCTGTTGGTTGAGCTTGTTTGTTGCTCATTTTGGTCGCCGCCTTATCCGGTCGGTTGGATTCATTAGCTCGAAGCTCTTGTCCGACACTTGTCTCTATTGTACAACTTTGTTGAAGGAGTTTTCGTTATTAATCAATTGAAAAATTAATTTNGTACAACTTTGTTGAAGGAGTTTTCGTTATTAATCAATTGGAAAATCAATTTTGGCTTCACAAAAGGTCCAGTTCCTTAATTACTTTTATTTTTATACTATTCTATTAGTGGATAAATATTTTATAAAAGTGTTTTCTTGTTCTGTTTGAAAATCCTTGAATGTTGCCATATATTAATGTGTGTTAGCATGCCTTAAAGATTACTGATTGTTGAATACGATTTGTCTCATAAAATAAGTTAAGTTACTAAATGAGCTCACAGTTATTTATTTGGAGTTGGACATGGGATATTCGAATAATCGAATTGCTTCTGTTTGTTTAATAACTTGAAAGGAAGATAGAAAATTTTGATGACAAAAGAAGTGATATTTAGAAAAAGGCGATTTTAGATTCTTGGGCCAAAAGACTTCTCTCTTTAAGAATTGTTTTTATGCTTGATTTAGAATAAAGTTAGAATTGGTTTTTTGAATGAACATTAGTGACTGTAGAATTGAAAAGTGATAGACTTTTAATTCTTAAATTTTTTAATTTGGGAATAACTCAACATGCGTAGTTGCTTTAGGCGTGCTCATAATTTATTGTCATGATTATGTATACGTTCGCGTGACATGATTATGATTCTCAAAATAAATCAAGGTATGCATTCACACAATTTTGACAAAACAATCTTAATAATTAATAAAGTGTTATTAGTTGTGTACACGTACTCGTG